TATATATATATATATATATATATATATATATATATATATATATATATATATATATATATATATATATCCGTTTCGTTGGAGTGTATTTTTCAATTCTTTAAATTTGTTTTAAATGTTAACCTTCTCACTTTTATAACAAAAAAATTCTGCACAGAAGCAACAGTTTAAAATTTCCTTCCCTAGAGAAATAAACGAAACACGTGAACTAAATTAAACGTTGACAAAACATCAAAAACAAATCCATGAAGAACGTAGTACAAATATTCGGAAAGTTAGACTAAGTATCTCAAATAAGATATTGCCTAAAGAGTTCGACTTACGTATTACGTGTGCACTCATATTCGCTAATTTTCTTTTATTAATATCTCAATAATTATATGTTGGTGTTTGCAAAATAAATCAGAACTTTTTCGTTCAGTTTGGTGAATTCTATTTACACACAAACAAATATACGTTATGTTAGATATTCTGTTTGTACGCCCATGTGAATATATATAAAACAGAACATCTTATGAAAAAAAATTAGCTTTAAATTCATGAATCTATTATTATAAATCATTGAGATATTGATAAGCATAAACTACATACAACAGGATACATTGTAGGTCTTAATATATTAATTCTACTTACCTTTTATTCAGAACAGAAAGATGAATATAGAAAAACAGCATGTAAAGTAAAACCGGTAATAAGATGAGGCAAAAGCACCTTGCTAACAAATGTCTTCCCACGTAAGACTGTAAAAAAATAAAACAATCTTTTGAAGACTTAATTAATCATTCAGAATTTAATCGGAAATATAGAGATGTCCGGAAAGTCTATGCAAATTTTAAAACAAAATAAATTCAAATAAAAAATTGTTTAGTTAAAAATAATTTTAATCTGTAATATATATACCATTTCGTGTTCTACAATATTTTTTTATCTCTCGACTAATTTTATAATTCCTCATTCATAGAAGTTCTAGATTTTTTCGGCGAGGAAACATGGGGTTTAAGTAATTTTTGAAGCGTCTCAAAGAAGCAAAGTTCATATCATTAAAGGAGTTCTGCAGCGACCGAAATAAGTAGTATTCGGAAAATGCCATGCCGGGTAAATACGATAGATGAGACAAAATGTTCCAACCAAACTTCAGCAATTTTTGCTAGATCTGTAAAGAAGTATGAGGCGTAGTCATGATGTAGTCATGACATAGTTATGATGTAAAACAACGTCTTTCCGATTAATTTTGGAGGTTTCTTGCCGATTTCTTTTGATCCAGTTGCGAACAGTACTTATCCAAATTGATGGGTTAGTTGTTGGTGGTGATCACGATAACTATTATTATTAAATACACGTCGCAATATAATTTATCAAAAAACATACGTAACACATTTAACACATCAAATTAATCTTCTAAAATTTATATTTAAATTCCATCTACTTAAAAATCCGTGTGGACTTTCCGGGCAATCCCATATACAGTGTCCCGCTTAAGACGCACCAAAAGAAAAATATAAGTAGAACAGATAAAAGTGAAAAAAATATTATAGAGGTCATTTTTCGAAGAACTACGTAAAATTTCGAATTATTAAATAAAATAGATGGGTAAATCAGTGCACACGACGCGGCAGGAGGGATATACGGCTCACCGTGGCCGACGAAATAAATGGATGAGCGCACGCTCGTGGACGCATACACGGAGCTATCCATTTCAGTATGCCACCAAACGGCCCACCTCTCTGGCCTATAAGATAGGCCCGCGAGCAATTGTTCATTTTCTTCGCCAGCCTCGGCGAGCCGTATGTCCCGAGCCGTGTTCTCGAAATTTTTCGTGGTGATTTGAAAAATAATCTCTACAATATTTTTTCACTTTTATCTGCTCTACTTATATTTCTCTTTTGGTACGTTTTATGCGAGACACCATGTACATATAGAGTGTCCCAGAATAATCTATGAAGTTCTTATGAAAACGTAGAGGGTCGAGGTGAATATAAAAGTCCTATATTGTTTTGCGATATTCGTAATAATAACCGAGAAATTAATTGCGAAAGATTAAGAAAAAACATGTACTGAATGGTACATGTACTGAATAGAGAACGAAACGCTCGAGTCAGCGCAGCCCAGTAATATGCGCGAATGTCGGCATGTGGTGATTGGAAAAACAACACACCACTGCCTATGCTTATATCGCTATGTTCCTGCGATCTTGTCGCACCGCGCCAAGCCGAGATGTAGGAGCGCAGCGATATAAGCACAGGCAGTGGTATGTTATTTTTCTAATCGCTGCACGCTGATATCCGCGTGCTATATTACTAGGCCGTGATGTGACTCGTGTGCTCCGTCTTCTACCATTCAGCGTATGTTTTTTCTTGATGTCTCGAGATTAATTTCTCGGCGAATTATTATTGCGAATATCGCAAAACGGCATGAGACTTTTGTCTTCACCTCGACCTTCTCTACATTCTCACGAGAGCTTCGTAGGTTATTCTGGGACACTTTATATATAATATATATAATTATGTATATATATAATTATATATCAAAGTTAATCTTCACATATATCGTCAAACTCACTCTAAATAACTCTCTTTCAAGAGTTTCATCTCCTTATTATATAATTACAAACTAAAATGTTCAATAAAACTACGTAAATTATTTACATATATATTATTAGCAGAAATTACATTATTATTTTACGCGCCTTCAAAAATAGGCAAACCTCAAGAGCATATGTAGGGTTTTACGATCGGCCCAGTAATGGGCCAGTATTGGTTGTCACACTTGCAGTGCTGGCGCAACGCTGGTAAAAGTTACTAGTACAACACTGCTAACACAACAGCTTCTATCTGGATGATAACCTGGGTCCATAGCTCGTACCAAATCTGGCCCAACACTGGCTACCAAAATTGGCCCAATATTGGGTGTCAATGTCCATCTGATACTGGCTACTGACATCGGCCCAATGTTGCATACCAGTATTAGTCCGAGACTGCTCAGACAGCACAAAAAAATATTTATATACATTTTTCTTTCTTTTTTTTTAATTTTTCTTAAATTTTCCACTTTACTGTTTTACACGCTACTTAATTCAATTTAAATTGTACTTCGAAAATTTGCTTACCATTGCTGAGATTTGAATCTGGGACCTCTGGTTCTTAAGTCGATTATCTTACCTTCTGCACCACTGTTACTTCGATTGAAAAATGCTTTATATTGCTTTACATATGGTATATATCCATGCACGAAAACAAAAAAATATATATTTAAAAAATATTTACTTATTTAAAAGTAAGTAAAATACAATTAAATCATTTTGTAAATTTAAATAGTTTTCTAATAAGAAACTTTAATTTGAAAAAAAAAATCTTTTAATATTAGAAAATAATTTATTTAAATTTATAAAATGATTTACTTGTATTTTATTTACTTTTAAAACAAGCAAATATTTATTTAAACACAGTTTTTATATTAAAAAAAACTAATTTTTTTCTTGTAAGGAAATCATTTGCTTATTCTTATATATAGATATTTTAAATCAAAGAAATAATTTTTTCTCTAGAAATTCGTAATTTTACAGCTCATTTTACCAATTTAAAAAATATTACTTTATATTTATTACATGTTTTGTAAAATTTAATAAATATTTTTTTCAGTTAAGAAATTATATTTAACAAAATATATTTCTTTAATTTAAAGAATTTCTTTTCAGTGTACATTACCAATTTGAATTTCGATTTACTTATTTCCTCATTAATTTAATAATTATAAATAATTACATTTATTTTTCATATGTAATATTTATAGAAATATTTACACACACACAAAATATTACTACATATACTTATTTTTTGTTTACAATAAGTATTATATAAAATATTTAGTCTACATTTTAATAATATTTTTAATAAAGATTTTGATACTTTTTCTTTTATATATATAAAATATTTATATAATATTTCAAAATAAATATTTATAAATATCTATCATAAATATTGTATACTGTCTGGGTGGTCGCTGGCATTTACCCGACACTAGTAAACTTGGTCTAATAAAGTAAAAGTATCATAACCCGAATATGTATTTAAACCTGGATATTGTTATTATGGCTAAGAAAATTCTGGTTCATAATTGGGTGCCATACGTTGGGCAAGTACTGACATTCATTGTAATGTCAGACTATTCAATGGTCAATTATCAACCAATGCTGGCCGAGTACTGGCTAACAGAACTGTGGTTCAGAATTGGCTGCCGTACGTTTGCCAAGCATCAGCGCTCGTTATAACGCCAGACTTCAATGGCCAAGCATCGACTAACATTGGCCGAGTACTGGCTGACAGAACTCTGGTTCATAATTAGTCGCCGTACGTTGGCCAAACATCGGCGCTCGTTATAACGCTAGACTTCAATGACCAAGCATCGACCAGTACTAGCCGAGTACTAGCTAACAGAACTCCAGAGTTTATAATCGGTCGCCGTACGTTGGCCAAGCATCGAGCAGTACTGGCTAATAGACTCTAACTGCTAGATAAATGCCATAGCTCCGGTAAAACGTTGGGTTCGTTGTAAACCCTACATGGGAGTGTAGACAATTAAGAGTTAAGAAATATCATCTTGACAAATAGATAAAAGAAATGTTGGTAAGTGTAGGATAGTTCAGTGATGTGAGAGTAATCCGGCAAACGAAAAACTCAAATTCGAATTCTGATCTACTTCACCCTAATATCGCTCAATATATAAATGAATATAACTTCGACAAAAATGATCAAAATAAGGTAGTTCAAAAAGTTTTTTTATAGCTTGAAGTAGCAGATTTTTATTGTACGCCGTACAATCAAAATATAGGAGATTGCAGACATTACTCTTGTTACGTCCTGCGGACTAAATTAAAAATTATTTCGAATTAAGGCCGTTATAAGAAGTGATCATATTTGACAAACAGTTAGGAATAATTTAACAGGAAAAACTTTTAAATATATACAGGGTGTTCTAGACTACAATTCTTAAACTTCGTGAGAATGTAGAATGGATTGAGATGAACAAGAAAGTCTCATACTGTTTTGCGATATTCAAGTTTCAAGAAATTAATTTTAGAAAATCGGATGATCGACAATTGACAATATTGTGGATTTTGTTTACATTGACCAAAGTTGAGATTTTTAGCAATCCATCCGACATCCCCTACATATGTATTAAGATTCTTAATTAGTAATTTCTGACCTTTTTCTAATGTAAAGCGATTTCGTAAAGCCATCCAACATAAATCAGATTGTCTCAAGTCAATACGATAAAATAGTTAATTTTTTGTATTTTGATTTAAAACTTGAAATCTTTCACTGATTTGCGCAGGCAATAGATATTATCCGATCGAGCTGAACTTTTACACAATTATTATTGGTACATATTTACAATTTTTCCACATGGTGCCATTCCGATCCGAAAACTATCGCGTTTTTCGCTGCAACCTAATGCCCCGTACATGTGAAATGTTAGGTTTACATATATCTGATGACTTTTCAAAAGATTTTGTGAAAAAAATATAAAATCGAAAATATTCCAAATTTCGACGATTTTTCCATTTTTTGGCCGCCATCTTCAATTCGACATGATGTATTAAAAAAAAAATACTGACGAATTTGAAAAAGGAAGTATCTATAACACTATTCCATGCATTATGATCTAGCAAGACTTTTCCTAATTTAAAATAATTTTTAGAAAAATAACTCGAAAAATCTTTCATTTTTTTAGAAAAATGAGT